CTTGAACTTAAATCCATTACTAGTGTTGCCCATTTTGTCAAATCTTTTTGTATATCTTCATTAATCTTATTATAATTAGCCTCATATAATGTATTTAGTTCTCTAGTCAGATAAACACCTAAATATTTTATTTTTCCTGAATCCCATTTTAATTTGTAAGCTCGTCTGATTGAATCAGCTGGTCTGTATTTTATACAGAGAACTTGGGTTTTTGAAATGTTTAACTTATACCCAGATTTCCCTCCAAAATCTTTTAGTAGCGTAAAAAGTTTAGCAATCGTATAATCCGGATTGCTGAGGTATATGATAATATCATCTGCAAAAAGACCTAATTTATGTTCATCCTTAGCGACTGTGATTCCTTTAAGTTCTTTACTTTGTCTTATATACTGAGCCAAAGGCTCTATAAACAAGGCAAATAGGGAGGGGCTTAGACAACATCCCTGTCTTGTTCCTCTGAAGAGCTCGAATCTGTCTGTTAAGTTACCATTTATTTTAATTCTAGCCACTGGTTTATCGTATAGGGCCTGTATACATTTAATGATAGTTTTATCAAAACCCATTCTTTTCAAAACCGCAAAAAGGAAATTCCAGCTGACTCTATCAAAAGCCTTTTCCGCATCAAGACTTACTAAGGCTGTAGGAGTGCTCTGTTTATTGACTTCATTAATTATATGTAATGTGCGCCGAATGTTATCTTGTGTTTGGCGACCTTTTATAAAACCCGTCTGGTCCTCATCTATCAGGTCAGGGAGGAAGGTTTCTAATCTTCTAGCGATTATAGACGTGAATAATTTATAATCAACATTCAAAATGGAAATTGGACGATAGGACTCACATAACTCTTTATTTTTACCTTCCTTTGGTATAACTGTTATAATGGCCTCTTTCCATGAGGGAGGGCATTTTGCATGTTTGAGTGTCCAATTAAAAGATTCCAACAATAGAGGGGCAAGGTCTTCTTTATAAACTTTGTACCATTCGTTAGGATAGCCATCTGTACCTGGACTTTTTTTGCATTTCAATCTACAAATAGCATTATCAAGTTCTTTTTTAGTAATGGGTGAATTTAATGATCCATTTTGAGTAGTTCCTATGGAGGGGAGATCTAATTCAGCTAAATAATCTTCAATTTCTTTTTTATCTACTTGTTCTGAATGATTATACAGAGATTTGTAATATTTATGAAAAATATTTTTGATTTCCTCAGGTTCATATGTTATGACATTACTTTCTGGATCTCTGATTTTGTTAATTGAGTTCCTTATTTGCTGTGATCTTAATCTTTTTGCTAATATTTTAGTTGCTTTGGGACCTGATTCATAAAAGATTTGTTTTGTGAATCTCAGTTTCTTTTCTGTCTCCTCGTTTGCCATGTCTGATAATTGTTTTCTAATTCCTTTTAACATACCAGCCAATTTATCACTCTTATCTGTATGCTGTTGTTTTTCTAGATTTCTCATATTTTGTTCTAATTCAGCTTGTAATAGCTTTTTCTTTTTTTTAATGTGAGCTAGCCTTGATATCAGGTTTCCTCTCATCACTGCTTTTATAGTGTCCCATAATATTGTTGGCTCTATTTGTTCATCCTTATTATTGGCTATACAGTCTTGAATCTCTTTTTTGATTTCTTGCACCGCAATTTCATTATTAAGAATATTAACATTCATTTTCCATAATGTTGTTTTGTTTGGACAATCAAGATGTATAGTTAAGTATATAGCATTGTGATCTGACACATCTGCTATTCCGATTTTACAGTCTATAACCCGATGTCTATCTATTGTATTCATCAGAAAGTAGTCAATCCTAGAATGTACCTTATGAGCAGCAGAATAATGCGTATAGTCTCTCTCTAATGGGTGCAGAACTCTCCAAACATCACACAGACCTGCATCTTTCATTAGAATATTAAGAATCTTGGATTTGATGTTTTTATATCTTTTAGTACTTGTTGTGTCTTTAGTGTAATTCAAAATTGTGTTCCAATCGCCTCCACATATCAAAATCCCCTCACTCATTGTTATTTTGTCAAACAATAAATTAAAGAATGTTTTTTCTTCCTCAGGGGGAGCATACACATTGACTAGTGTGACTACAGTATTATCAATCCTCCCTTTAACAATCACATATCTGCCATGTTTATCGGAACATTCCTCAGTCAATTCAAAATTAACAGTGTTTGAAATTAGGGTAATAACTCCTCTCCTTCTGCAATTCTTGTACGAACTATAAAATGAATTTATGTAACCAAGCTTTTTAAATTTCTCATGTTCTTCATTTGACATATGAGTTTCTTGTATGAACATAACTTGCATATTATCCCTTTTTAATTTCGTTATCAACCTACTCCTCTTTATCGGATTACCCAGACCATTTACATTTATTGTCTCAATTTTCACTTTACATGACCCACTCATACCCTGAGTAAATTATTGCTGTAGACCCCACAAGTGAACAGGAACTATTACCGAGAACAAAAAAAATAAAAAAATAAAATAAATAGAAACAATGAAACCGGGGATACCTGTGACTCCTCCTCAAATGGAAGAATATCTCTCCCAACTGGGCCCCGTCGGTAGGCCTAGGGTAGTGTCTCCCGTAAGGGGAGGGCCCTATGTAAGGTTTGGAAACTACTTCCATCCTTAGTGTCCAACGTCCTAACTCCTTCTCTGGTGCCTCTCCTTCAGTCCTGTGAATTACAAAGGCCTTCCTGTGTCAATAATGCAAACGCTCCTCATCCTTCATTTTTTCCCGCTTCTCTGAAACTCCATCAATTTCTCTTTTGCCCTCTGCGCCGTAGGGACTCTGTGCTCTCGCCGGGGACGCGCCTCCCGCTGCCATCCCAAGGACTTCAGTCGAGTCTCCATAGCGACTTCTTCCGTAACCGCTGTCGGCACCTCCACTTCCAAGCCCCGCTTCCTCAACTCCATCCCAGCTTCGTGTGCGCTGCTGTATGTTCCGACGCCACTCTCCCAATGGATTCGTATGCTCGTGTAGGGTGTTTGGAAACGAACACCTTTCTCCTTCAGCACTTTCTTAATCTCTTGATATGCCATGCGTTTTTGGACGATCTCAGTTGCATAGTCGTGGTCGAAATAAATGTTTCTCTCATTTGACTGAATGCGTCCTTTTTTCCACGCTTCCTTGAGGATTAGCTCTTTAGTAGTATCTTCTTGAAAATTTACTATAATTTGTCTCGGGTTATTATTTGGTCGGGGCTTAGCTGCGAAGACTCTGTGGGCTCGCTGAATTTTAAGATCCAAGTCCGCTGGCAAAGGTAACTCACGCTTGAGGAAATCTGTCACGAATTGCGTCACCGACTTCCCTTCCTCTCCCTCTTCTACCCCGAAAAGGCGAATGTTGTTCCTTCGCGATCTAGATTCGAGATCGGTCAGTTTGTTTTGGATACTCCTCTGTCGCTTAATGCTTTCAGTCAGCGCTTCAGTCAAATCAAGTGTCATGTCCTCAACACGACCCACGCGATTCTCCGCTTCATCCATTCTTTCCGTCAGGCCTCTCACTTCCTCCGTCAGGTTGTCGAGTTTATTACCCATCTCCTGGCGCAGGGCATTGATGTCCTTCCTTAGTTTGTCATTGTCCCCCTTCAGTTCGGATTTAAGCGTTTCTATTGCTTCCAATATCGCGCTCGAGGTTTTGTTAGTTCCGCCCGGGCTCGTGCTTGCTTGCTCGGTTGCGTTGCTAGCTTTTGTCGCGGTTATTGATTTGTCTCCTTTAGGCATTTTGCGTCTTTTTGGCCTTTAATGTGTTGAACCCCACTCAAATGCTTAACTTACTCTATTAATGGATAATATATCATCGAGTTTTGGTGGGTATTTTCCATCAATCTCGGAGAGCGATCACCAAACACGTCTGTCTCGTTACGCCATCACCGGAAGCCCCCCAACTAATCAAATACTTGAACAGACTACTGATCTATCTGTAAAACACAATCAGAAAGAGCTATTTTAAGTTCACAATTCACATATACTTAATTTTTAGTAAGCAGGAATAATTTCCGACTTTAAACAAATACCCATTTAAATGCTTAGGATGTTTGCGTTGTAAGACTGTTCAGGGAGACTTTAGATTTAAAGACGGTGTCTCGTTATGCAATGTTTTCTCAGTCAAATCATACAATTTCCTATTGATTCAATAGAACGCGTGAGCTCACTAGGGAATCACAATATGGCGGCGCGGTGGCTTCACTGTTTATGACGTCATGAGCTATCCAGTCATTCTATATAGATCAGTGCTCCTGTGTGACCTGGCAAAGTGACATCACCATAGAGTTTGCCTGTGAGCATGTGCAGCTCCACACTTGGAGTGATTGCCATTTCATCCAAGGACAGCACACACTCCCTTTCAAGGTCTAAAAAGGGTCCCTTTCAAGTTTAAAAAAATCAAATACCTCTGTCAACACACCAGGCTCAAATTTGACACATTCCATCCTTCTTTACAGGGTTCTGATTGCTGGCAAGGGAATCTGTACTTCCTGTAGGGTCTTGTAACCAGTTGGACCGGCTGCAAAGCAAATTTTGAATGCCTTCTTAATTGTGTCATTGCTCCATTTCATCCCTTTTGTGGTTCGTCTTCCTAATGCCATTATTTGGTCTTTTGACAAAAATTTCTTTAAATTTTTGTCCCTAATTTTAATTGTTTTCTTGAGAGCTGCATTTTCATTCTTTATTTTTCTTTGTGCTGCCTTTGCATTCTTTGATATTTTTTCTTGTCTCTTTAAATTTTTTTAATAGACCCAGGCTGATGGCTCACTGGTAAGCTGACTGGCTGCTGGCTGCTGGCTGACTGGGTAGTGTCACCTGTCCCTGTCTCTCCTCTCTAGCCATGTCCTCTATTTCTTCACTGTCACTTTCCCTTCTGTGAGTGTCCTCATCATTTTTTCCCTCAACCTTTGAAACTGATAGAGGCAGAATACATGGTATTGCTAATTTTAAATATTCAAAATATCACATAACTTCAAAATTAGAAATATTACTAGAAATAGTTCTTACTTATTATATATGTCACCTGTAATACTATAGCTGTGATCAGCTGTGATGTGCTGTATGTTTACAGTTCTAGGGGTGCATCGTGGTGCAGGGGCCCTCCTCTTTTTGACCACAGGACGATGCACAAAGATGGTGGGAATAGCATCTGGTCTCAGCCTACTCTAGAAATTTTTGGTCATGACAAATAGGTTTGCCTCAATGTGCCTGCAGAGAGTGACTTGAGTTTAGTTTCCACACACAACTATTTTTTTTCTCTTTTTTTTTTCTACCCACATACTGTACATATCACATGGTGGTTAAAGGCACAGTTATAGGTAACACTGATGACTCCCTGCAATGAGACTGCACCCTCACCATGAGTCTCAGCTCCCTGGGTTTTGCAAGGCTTTGCTTGTTCCTTATTTCTAGTAAATCATTTTCCCATTGGGGTGTTTCCATGTGAAAAAGTGCAAATAAATTTAAGTATAATTACCTCGCAATTTTTTTTGTTGTTGTAATTTTTATTTAGATTTAGATTGCTCCTGCTGACTTGAGCCAACCATTTTTTTATCCTCTTCATGTCAGTGGGGAAGCCATACATTCACACACCTTTCTCTGAGCGATTGGAGCATCCCTATGCAGCACAGCAAACCATGGTGGAGACTATGCAAGGACAACATGAAAGAAAGGACACATACAAAATGCTTGGCATGCTACCGGTATTCAATTTATTAGAAATGTATTCATGAATTGCTGTAAATAGTTAAAAGCATTTATTTGAATAAAAATACAAAAAAGTAATATCGTAATATATTATTACAATTTAAAATAACTGTTTTCTATTTTATGTATTTTAAAATGTAATTTACTCTTGTGATGCCAAGCTGAATTTTCAGCATCATTACTTTTGAACGGCAGTGTACGTTTATATATGAGTATGCTTAAGTTGTTTTAAACCTGAATATATTGTGTATATGAATAAGTATTGTAAGAATTATACATAGATATATAATATTTATAATAAATAATTATATTACTATATATAATTGTAAGAATTGTAAACAATAAGCTTAATTTCACAAAAGTTTACATTTATTTAACATCACGTTACTGCTGCTAATAGTTCATTGACCCATTGTGCGGTGCGAGCTGAAAATCACCTGTCACCAGCCTGTCTCTGTACTATCTGAAAGTCATAAATATGACATTAGTTACCATGAGATTAGTAAAAACAATGAACACGAGGTAACTTAAAAAGGCAACAGCAACCCTAGCCTGAAATAAGTTAAGGCAAATAACGGTAATCGAACCTCCGCTTCGCATCGGGGTCCTCATCATCCTGTCGGGGGTTATTTTGAGAGAACCACCGGCTGGATGTGCGTTATCCCTTACATAAAAATTAGTAACCTGTGAAAATGAACCTTAATGTAAAGTGGAAACCTTAACCCATTTTTTCATGTGTTATGAACACTAGTAACCTGTGAAACTGAACCTTAATGTAAAGTTGACCCACCCAGGGGAACTCTCTGCACATACTGTAGCCTATCTGTGCGAACTAGGAGAAAGAATGCACTCATGCTGTAGAATCCAGCAGCGTGAAGGAGGTGAATGAATTGGGAGGTGAATAAATTGTTTCTCTTTTTGAACTAAGAGACACTGACATTCGGCTCCGAAGAATAAAGTTAAACGAGTGAAGCATGCCAGCCCTCTTTTATGTAAGGTGATGTGAACTTTTTTCTTCTAAAGAGTAGGAAACTCAGAAGCGAAGACCAGGAGACTTGGTTATACCTTCAGCAGGATTCTTTATTGAGAACACAAGCCGTGGGTAGCTGCAATCATCGTCAAGTCTAGTCTAAGGGAATCTTACATTGTAGTTTATATACTACATGGTATATATCTTGGATCGTGATGTGGCGATCCAAGATGGCGTAAGGTGCAAGACACACTATTTTCTGTCCAGTGTATAGTCCCTGTTTGTTATCTTTATTTATTGTATCCACTTATTTCTTTTTACGATCCTTCCCAAAAACACAACGGATCACAACGGATTTCTTTTGGAAACTTATTTTTACCACACCGGGAACCTTTTCAAATATATGCCCAGCCGGCATACCTGTACAACTCCGGCCAGCCAGCCTGTGTGGTATACTATTACTTTAGTGCCTTCGGACTCACACTTTACCTTTCATCATCAGGAACACTCACGGCTAACCCAGCTTATCGACTATCCGCGTTGTTAACAGAGCTAACAATAACATCACTGGCTAACGACATGGCATTAATGCCGAGTTCAGACTGCACGATTTTCAAAATAATCGGGTCACTGTTGTTTTCACACTGCATGACTATCTGGGGTAACATTCAGTTGCTGCTGTGTTCACACTGCACGATGGATCGGCGACAGTTTCACACTGCATGACTTTACAAAAGAAAGAATCGCCGACAACTTCTGCCTGGTCCGCAAAACTACGTTTCACAACCAAACAAACGCGAGAAGTGATTGGAAATAACGGAAGATCACGCGTGCGTGAGACCGGAGTTCTCGCGCGACACTGAATTTATTATTAAAAATGATAGCCTACAAATTGTCTGTGCACTGATTTGTAGCGAAAATGAAAAAATAATAATAAACAGTTTATGCAGGAAATGGTTGGGAAGACGAGGGGAGCAATGACTGTTTTGCAAAGAGAGTTGGGGGTAAATAAATAATTTTGCAAATGTCCTGCTGTTGCTGCTGGTCATGCAAATGTTTGTGCTTTGTTTCTGTTTGATATAATTGTAAATATAGGCCTATCTATTAAAATACTGATAGTCTGGTCTATAACTCCTCTTCCTCCTCCCTATATCTTGCTCTCTCATTGGCTGTCGGTCATCGCCGATGTAGTTTTCAGTCAGAACCTGGTCAGAACACATTCACACAGCAGGATTGTGAATCGCCGACAGGTCCAGATATTTAGCATGCCAAATATCTCACGGGCGTCGGCGACTTGTCGGCGATTCTCTCAGATCGCGTCTTTGTTCATTCACACTGCGTGATTGTCACTCGCGTGAACGAGCACCGATTTGCCTGTGATTTCGGGCATTTGTCGGCGATTTCTCAAAACCTGTCGGCGAGCCAAAATCGGGGCTAAAATCGTGCAGTCTGAACTCGGCATAAGTTCGACATAACTTCCACCTGACCAACGAGGTGATTTGTCCCGGGGGATTCCCTGACGTTCTGGTGCTGTGCTCTTCGTTGCTCCGGCTAGTCCATCCGTTGCCCCGCTTGATAGCTGACTGCCGTGGCGGCGCCGTTTGCCCGGCTGGCCGCCCCTGTCCGGGCCCGATTCGGCGGCTCTCTGTCCTGGACTCTTTGGTCGGCCGGTCGGCTGCCGGTCCCTCTTTGTTGGCGGGACGCCTGTACTCTGTAGGTCTGACTATTGCCTGGATCTCGTAAGCCAAAGACATTGCTAATTGTTGCGAGCTAGTTTTGTGCTGAAGTATTTCTTTGATTTTCCACGCACTGAGTGCGCATGCGCAGTATACTCTAGAAATAATTGTTGTTATTGTCAAATTGTCATTGGACATAATGGCTTGCCTTTGGTTGCTTTAGTTAACTTTTATAGTTTGTCTTTATTATATATATGTCCTTTTCACCAAACCCGAGATAAATTTATGATCCCTCCTCCAATTTTTTCTGTGACTTATTCTACCTCATTTGTTTTTTCCAGAGAGGCGGCCTCCTTCTTCATTACTAAACACCTTGGTTTACCATCACCCCAGGGGGGGTGGCTGTATTTTGTAGGGATAGTTTACAGAGTTCTGTTGTCCTATCTAAGTCCATGGCTAAACAATTTGAGTTACTCGTCTTGAAAATTAACCTTTCTAGAAATAAGTCTTTCATTGTTGCTGTTTGTTACAGACCACCTTCAGCCCCTAGTTGTACCCTTGACACCTTATGTGAATTGTTAGCCCCTCACTTATCCTCGGAGTTCATATTATTAGGTGATCTAAATTGGGACATGCTCAACATTCCTGCAAATGTACAATCTAAATTAGATGCCCTTAACCTCACACAAATTGTCAATGAACCAACCCGGTACAACCCGAAAAACGTGTCCAAGGGAACCCTTATTGATATTATTTTAACTAATATGCCCTCAAAATATACCTCTGCTGTTTTCAGTCAGGATTTCAGTGACCATTGCCTCATTGCATGCATTCGTAATGGATCAATAATCAAACCACCTCCACTCATTAGAGTGAAACGCTCACTGAAGCACTTTAGTGAACAAGCCTTCCTCCTTGATTTAGCCTGGGTACCTTGGAAGAACGTTGACCGTATACTGACAGTTGAGGATGCATGGTCATTTTTTAAAAATGCCTTCCTCTCTGTTTTGAATAAACATGCTCCTCTCAAAAAGTTTAGAACCAAAAATAGATACAGTCCTTGGTTCACTCAAGATCTTTCTGCCCTAGCCCAGTACAAAAACACCCTGTGGTGTACTGCTCTAGTCTAAAAAAATCCATACGACATGCAACTCTTCAGAGAAGTAAGGAACCGGTAGACACAGGCAGTCAGGCACGCCAAGAGTAGTTTCTTTAAACAGAAATTTCAGCCTGTAGTACCAACTCAAAAAAGTTCTGGGACACTGTAAAGACCATGGAGAATAAGAACATCTCCTCCCAACTGCCCACTGCGCTGCGGCTAGACAAGATCATCACTACTGCCAAAACTGCTATAGTTGAAAATCTCAATAAGCATTTTGCCATGGCTGGCCACGTGCTCAATTTGGCTACTCATACGGCCATACGTTTTTCACCCCCTGCATCACCTTGCCTTAGTTCCCCCAATTTCTCCTTCAGGCAAATTCAACCAGCAGATGTCATGAAAGATCTGCAAATGCTTGACCCTTTTAAATCAGCTGGACTAGACAATCTTGACCCGTCCTTCTTGAAACTCTCAGCAGCAATCATTGCAACTCCCATTACCGGTCTGTTCAACCTTTCCATCGTATCCTCAGAGATCCCTAAAGATTGGAAAACAGCAGCAGTCATCCTCCTTTTTAAAGGTGGTGACACGCTGGACCCCAACTGTTATAGACCCATATCCATCTTGCCCTGTCTCTCCAAGGTTTTCGAAAGCCAGATCAACAAGCAGATGATCAAACATTTTGAATCCCACAACACACTCTCTGCCATGCAATCAGGTTTCCGAGCTGGTCATGGCTGCACTTCGATTACTTCAACTACTTCGATTGGTTCTCGATTGGTTCACCAACTACTTTTCTGACAGGGTTCAACATGTTAAATCTGAGGCTCTGATGTCTGGACCTATTGTTGTCTCAATGGGGGTGCCACAAGGTTCGATTCTCGGGCCAATACTACTCTCAGTGTATATTAATGATGTTGCTCTTGACACTGGTACCTCTCAGATCCACCTCTATGCAGATGACACTATTTTATACACATCTGGTCCTGCATTGGACACTGTGCTAACCAATCTCCAAAAGAGCTTCGATGCAATTCAACATGTATTCTGGGGACTTAAGTTGCTTCTAAACTCCAGCAAAACTAAATGCATGCTGTTTAATCGCACACTGCCCGTACCCGCCAACCCGACTAGTATCCTGACTCTGGATGGATCTAGACTAGATTACGTGAACAACTATAAATACCTAGGCATCTGGTTGGATAATTCACTTTCTTTTAAGTTCCACATTAACGAGCTTCAAGCCAGAATTAATTCTAGAATTGGATTTTTGTTCCGAAACAAAGCCTCTTTCACTTATGCTGCGAAACATACGCTGATAAAAATGACTGTACTACCAATA